TACATGTGCCTGTACTCATACACGAACATATGCACATACTATACACAAACTAGATTCATTTAATATATTTTCTAAGTGGTTAATATAGAGGTGAGTGCCTAGCCTTGTATAATGCCGTCTCTTTGCAGAATTTATTACCTGGGGACAATCAATTACTCTATACTTTGCCAAAGTCAAAACTACAACTAACAGTGCTGCTGATGTACCTCAGTGTAAAGCACTTGCCTGGTATATGTACAAACTAGCACTACAAAAACAAAACAAAACAAAACACAGAATCAGACCTTTTGCTCTAGTAGAAGCTCATGAGATATAAAACTAGTGTTTTACAAGAAGCCAGATTTTTCTGTATAGATGCTAATGTTCACTGAGGGAGCAGGAAAGTCAATCCTGCCTTCAGTCTTACATGAAGTTTACATGAATTCTTGCCCTGAGTACAACTTGAGATAGTCACTTTTCCAAGTACTCTACAAGCCAACAGATTTCTATGTTGGCTTGTTATTCAAATTAGCTTTTGTGCCAGGCACGGTAGCACACACCTTTAATCCCAGCACTCGGGAGGCAGAGGCAGGTGGATCTCTGTGAGTTCAAGGCCAGCCTGGTCTACATAGTGAGTTCCAGGACAGCTGGGGCTACAGGGAGACCCTGCCTCAAAAAGACCAAAAAAAAAAGTGTTGAGCCAGGCGTGGTGGCACACACCTTTAATCCTAGCACTCAGGAGGCAGGAGCAGGCAGATCTCTGTGAATTCGAGGCCAGCCTGGTCTACATAGCAAGTTCCAGGACAACTGGGGCTACAGGGAGCCCTGTCTCAAAAAAAGACCAAAAAATTAATTAATTAATTAATTTTTTTAAAAAAAGGTGTTGAGAGCTGGAGAGATGGCTGAGCAGTAAAGAGCACTGACTGCTCTTGCACAGGACCCGGGTTCAATTCCCAGCACCCACATGGGTAGCTACGAACTTAACTCCAGTTCCAGGGGAATCTGAAGCCCTCTTCTGACCTCCACTGCACGACATGGGTGCACTCACATACATGCAGGCAATATACTCATACACATTTAAAAAAAAAAAAAAAAGGTGTTATATGACAATCCATCACCTGTAAGAGAAGTCTAGAGGTCAAAAGTCAGTCCTTTACAATAGGCCTCTCTCCAACCTGTATTTCCACTAATCTATCTCCAGTAATTCTGGCCAAACCAGACTTCCCACATTCCTTAAACATACAGTATGTACGTTTCTGCTACAGTGTGAAAGGCCTTTTCCTGACTTCTCCACCTAAAAAATTCCTGTTTACTCTTCAAAATCTAGTTCAGGTGAACATTTCTTCTGTGTCACCTTCTGATACAGGCAAAACTGCATTCTCACAGCAGTCTGTACATATCTCCACTAAAGCCTTTGCCACATTGCATCACTGGAATGCATACCCCTTCTTTCACCTCCTAAAATTAGAAAAAAACCTAATTCATAATAGCTAGCAAACACATTTTTTTTCAGTTTTACTACTTAATGAATTGATTTTGGCTGGGGTGTCTTTTTGAGACAGGGTCTTCCTGTAGCCACAATTGGCCTGGAACTCACTATGTAGACCAGGCTGGCCTTGATTTTGTAGAGATCTGCCTGCCTCTGCCCCCACCCTCACCCCCACCCCCCAGTGCCATTAAGTTGATTGGGGGGGGGGTCTTCTTTGAGACAGGGTCTCCCAGTAGCACCCCAGCTGGCCTAGAACTCACTATGTAGACCAGGCTGGCCTTGAACTCAGAGCTCCGCCTGCCTCTGCCTTCTGAGTAAAGGCATGTGCCACCACGCCCGGCCTATTAAGTTGATTTTAAAGCAACTGTAATACTATGCAATAAATGTAATAAAATGACTATCTAGAGATTGAACCCAGAGCTTTATGCATGTGATAAGAGTGCTCCCATCACTTTAATATTTCACTTGTATGTTTGTGTGTTACACATGTGGGGGGGGGCCCTGTTCGTGTGTGTGTGTGTGTGTGTGTGTGTGTGTGTGTGTGTGTGTGTGTGTATAGGTCTCTCTCACTAAACCTGGAGTTCACCGCTTCAGCTAAACTGGCTAGCCAACAAACCCCTGGGTTCCACCTCTCTCTATCCCTATCACTTTCCAGCTCTGGGGTTACACGTGTATGCCACCGTGTCTGTTTTTTACCTGGGTGCTGGGTGCTGGGACCTGAACTCAGGTCCTCATGCTTACACAGGCAGCACTTTACCCACTGAGTCATTTCCCCAGCCTTTATGATTTCATTTTAGCAAATCCATAAAATCTAAACATCTAATAGGAATAAAATTCATCTGCATGTAAACCAGAAGTTACAGATCAAATTTAAATCACTAAAAAATTTTCTAAAAAGATAAGATTGAACCGGCCATGGTAGTACATGCCTTTAATCCCAGCACTTGGGAGGCAGAGGCCAGCCTGGTCTACACAGCGAGTTCCAGGCCAGCTGGGGCTACAGGGAGACCCTGTATCAAAAAGATGGGAGGGTTGATAGTTGGAGTAATTTGTTACAGTAAAAGTAAAAACGATGTGGAAGAAGAGGAGGAGAAGTAGTAGTTACACTAGCCAGGCATGGTAGCACACACCTGTAATCCCAATAATTCAAGAGACAGAAGCAAAAGTAGTTCTAGGCCAGTCTGGGCTATGAGTTTCAGATTAACCTCAGAAACACAGCGAGACTTTGCCTGGGATGTTGGGTGAGGGGGTGTCACCAGGGAGGGATTATTCACCTATCACTCACAAAGTCCTGGATTCAATCCTCAGCACACACGAAAAAAAGAACCACTAGAATTTATATATCTGTTCTAGATAAGTTAATGTTTATTTCCAACTGGATAAAACCACAAGCTAGTTAAATTCTTTTGCAGTAGGTAATTTACAACAAGGCTAATAACATGTTAAATAGTCTATAGTTTTGGTATTTAATTAATACAAAAGAATACATGGTGGTCCCTCAAATGTTTAAACTTTTTAAAAAATTTTTATTTATTATTTTATATGTATGCATGTATTGCCTGCATGTAAGTGTACCCATATTGTGCAATGCCCACTGAGGTCAGAAGAGGCTGTTGGATCCCCTGAGACTGGAGTTACAGACAGTTGTTAGCTGCCATGTGGGTACTGGGATTCGAACCCCGGTCTTCTGCAAGAACAACCAGTGTTCTTAGTCACTGAGCCATCTCTCCAGCCCCTCAAATGTTTATTAAATTAACTGCATTTGGCTTGGAATGTATCTCCAATGACAGAGCACCAACCTAGCATTCCTGAGGCCCCAGGTTCCATTCCCAACACCAGGGGAAGGCAGGTATTATATATTTGCCTCTATTTTAGCTAAAATTACTCTTACATAGAAAGAAAATGTCAGTGCAGTTTGCTTTATTTAAAGAAAAACAAAGGCCAGTGTTCACTTCAGCAGCATATACTAAAACCGAACGATACAGAGATTAGCATGGTTCCTGCGCAAGGATGATACACAAATTCATGAAACATTCCATACTGTCATATATGTATGTGTATATATGTATGTGTATGTGTGTGTGTGTATATATATGTATATACATGAGCTCATTAAATTAGGTGGGAAGCACTGGGGGAGATCTGGAGAGGAGAGTGGATCTAAATGCCGTCAAACTATATTATATGAAAATTGCAAAAATCTAGGGCTGGAAAAATGGCTCAGCAGTTAAGACCACTGGTGGTTCTTGCAGAAGACCCGGGTTCAAACCCCAGCACCCACATGGCAGCTATGAACCGTCCTTAACTCCAGTTCCAGGGGATCCGACTTCCTCTTCTGTCCCCCTGGGGCATTGTATGACAGGGTGCACTCACATACATGCAGGCAATACACTCATACACATAAAATAAAAATACCAAATTAAATTTTATTTACTATTTTTATTTTATTATTTTTATTATTTAATATTTATTCTCCTGGAACTAGAGTTAAGGATGGTTCGTAGCCACCATGTGGGTGCTGGGAATCGAACCCAGGTCCTCTGCAAGAGCAGTCAGTGCTCTTAACCGCTGAGCCATCTCTCCAGCCCCAATAAAATAAAATATTTTTTAAAAAGAAAATTACAAAATTTCAATTTAAAAAAAGCTGTAGAGATAGCTCAGCAGATAAAGGTACTTGCTGCCAAGCCTGAGTTCAAACCCCAGAACCCACTCCTACACACATACATACACACACGAGTATTTTTAAAATATTTTTTTAAAAAACTCAGGGGCTAGGGCTGGAGAGATGGCTCAGTGGTTAAGAACATTGACTGTTCCTGCAGAAAACCTGGGTTCAATCCCAGCACCCACATGGCAGCTAACAACTATAGCTCCAGTTCCAGGGGATCTGACGGCCTCTTCTGTCCTCAGAAAGCATTGCACGACACGGGTACACTTACCTACACACAGGCAATACACTCATACACATAAAAAATAAAAATGATAAATGAAAATCTTTAAAAACTAAAAACTCAGGGGCTGAGCCTGGCATGGTAGCACATGCTTTTAATCCCAGCACAGGGGAGGCAGAGGCAGGTGGATCTCTGTGAGTTCAAGGCCAGCCTGGTCTACATAGTGAGTTCCAGGCCAGCTGGAGTTATAGGGAGACTCTGTTTCAAAAAGACCAAAAACCAAGCAAACAAACAAAAAAACTTAGGGGCTGGAGAGATGGCTCTGAGGTAAGAGCATTGCCTGCTCTTACAGAGGACCTGGGTTCTATTCCCAGCATCCACATGGTGGCTAACAACCATCTGTAACGCCAGTTCTAAGGGAATTCAATGCTCTCTTTTCATCTCCTCTGGCATTGCATGACATGGGTACACTTACATACATGTAGGCAACACACACACATAAAAATAACAAAATTTAAAAATAAATATGTCAATTTTCTACCCTTGTTAATATAAAATTCAAACCAACTAAGTTATTTCTAGCATTATCATTCTGGCAGTCACAGACCTGAATTAATATTTGTGTAGTATTTCTCCATTACCTAGGCTGAGAATTCTCCTCATACATTCTTTCTTTTCCCTCCTTGAAGAGGCTTATAGTCTGCTTGGTTTTCTTCATCAAATTCTCCATGAATACCCTAAAATATTCATTTTCTCCAAGTGTCTCCATCTTCCCTTCATATCTTGACAAGACAGTACGGAGATGCTGGTAGGTATCAGGTAGCAGGTCTAAGATATAAGGTGGACTATTCTTGAGAGCCAGCTTTGGGTTTTGACACAACCGTACCACCTGCAACAAACAGAAAAGAAGGGCCATTATTTGGAGAACCTTAAGGACAATTTCCCTTTTTAAGTTGGAAGTTATGAAGTATTTGTTCTTCTGCATAAATATGAAAAATACATGAGAATAATAAACAATCTATAGCCCAATGCCATAAGCAATCATTCTGTATTCCTAGTGGTCCTCCTAGAAAGATGGGTGGGTTTTGTCAAAAGTAACTTGAAAATTATGTGTGTATGTGTGTCTGAGTATGGTAATGGGGACATGACAACAGGTGCCAGTAGAGTCCAGAAGATAGCATAGGATCCCCTGAAGCTGAGTTATAGATGGTTGTGAGTCACCTGACGGGGTGCAGGAAACCAAACTCAGGTTCTCTGTAAGAATAGCAAGTGCTCTTAACCACTGAGCCATCTCTCTAGCCCCAAGGATGGGTTCTAAAATTCTATGAGAGGGCTAAGGTATAGCTCAGTGGTGGGGCACCTGCCTACATCACACATGCTCTGGATTCAATCCCCAGCACCTGGGAGCAACAGAGGACTGACTCCATGAAAGACTAATGGTATAGACAACATAGTTGGGAGGGGGAGGGGAGGAGGAATCCCCCACAAATGTCTGAAACCATGCCAGATAAAATATAGCAAGTTACTTCCAAATGTATAGCTGACCCTTTGATAAAGAAAATTCCCAGGACACAAGGACATGGTTGTCCTGGGAGGTAAATCTGTTGTACTCTAAAGCCTTGAGGTTTGTTGTTGCTGTTGTTTTGTTTTTGGTCTTTTTGAGATAGGATCTCCCTATAGCCCCAGCTAGCCTAGAATGTTTTTTTCTTTTTTAATTATTTTATTATTTGTGTGTGTGTGTGTGTCTGTGTGTGTATATGAGTGTATTGTCTACATGTATATAAGTGCACCCATGTCATGCAATGCCCACAGAGGTCAGAAGAGGGCATCAGATCCCCTGGAACTGGAGTTAGGGATGGTTGTTAGCTGCCACCTGTGTGCTGAGAATCAAACCTGGGTCCCCTGCAATAGTAGCCAGTGCTCTTAACCACTGAGCCATAAGTTTTAATAGCCACTAAGAGACAGGAGGGTGGAGGCCTTGGGCCCAGCAATACATAGAAGTGAATTGAGAAACCCATTTCTTCCAAAGAAAATGAAAACACTCTGGTTTCTCTTTAGATAGCTGAGTCACCTCTCTGGTCTCTTTTTTATTTATTTATTTATTTATTTATTTTGTTTTTGTTTTTTGAGACAGGGTCTCCCTATGAGCCCTAGCTGGCTTGGAACTTGCTATGTAGACAAGGTTGGCCTTGAACTCACAGAGATCCACCTGCTTTTGCCTCTCCCTCTGCTGGGATTAAAAGTGTCTGCCACCATGCCCAGCAGCCTCTTTTTACTTAAAGAAAATTGCAGTGTGTGTCTATTTTGTGTATGTGTGGACATGCACATGCCACACCACCCATGCGTGGAAGTCAGAGGATAACTTGCTTGAATTGATTTTCTCCTTCCATTATGTAGGCTCTGGAGGTAGAACTCAGGTTGTCAGGCTTGGTGGCAAGAGCCTTTGCTGAGTAATCCTGCTAGCTTAGATGGCCATTTCTTTGACAGTAGTATGATCACATGTATGCAGTCTTACTTGGGGGCTGGAGAGATGGCTCGGTGGTTAAGAGCATTGGCTGCTCTTGCAGAAGACCCAAGTTCAACTCCCAGCACCCATATGGTGGCCAACAACCATCCCTAACTCCAGTTCCAGGGGATCCGACACCCTCTTCTGACTTCCGTGGGCACTGTACAACATGAGTACACTTACAAGTATGCAGGCAATATACTCATACACACAGAATAAAAATAAGAAATAAAGTATTTTTTTAAAAAAGGAAAGTAAGCAACAATCCTCCAAAAAAAAGAGAACTGACTTTCGAACCATTATCCTCTGACTTCCACATTCGCATTGTGGCAGACACAAACTCACATTCACATACCCAATAATAGTAAATAAAAACTTGGCTCACCAGTTAAGAGCACTGGCTGCTCTTGCAAAGGTTTCTCAGCACCCACATGGTAGCTAACAACCATCCATAACTCCAGTCCCAAGGAATCCAACACCCTCTTCTGACTTCCAAGAGCATTGCATGGGTGTACTTAACATACATAGTCAATACAATCATACACACAAAATAAAAATATTTTTAAAGTATTTTATTATTTTAATTTTATGTGTATGTATGTATTGCCTGCATGTATGTAAGTGCACTCGTGTCGTGCAATGCCCAAGGAGGTCAGAAGAGGGCACTGAATTTCTTAGAACTGGAGTTATAGATGGTTGTTAGCCATCATGTGAAAGCTGGGAATCGAACCCCAGTCTTCTGCAAGAGCAGCCAGTCTTCTTAACCACTGGATCATCTCTGCAGCCCCTAAAACTAATATTTTTTAAAAAAATAAAAAATAAGAATGAGACAAGAGTGGTGGCATACACCTCTAATCCCTGTACTCAGGAGGCAGAGGGAGGCAGATTTGTGAGATCCAGATCAGCCTGGTCTACATACTGAGTTCTAAGCCAGCTGGGGCTACAGGGAGGCCCTATCTCAAAAAAATAAAGTAAATAAATAATGAATAAAATAAAAAATAAGAATGAGACTGGGCATAGTGGCATATGCATTTAATCCCAGCACTAAGGAGGCAGAGGCAGGCAGATCTTCACATTTTGAGGACGGCCTGGTCTACATACCAAGTTCCAGGCCAGCCAAGTGTACGTAATGAGACTGTCTCTAATTAATTTGCATGTTATAAATGATATATAACTGTCCATGAAAAAAAAAAATCGAGAATTGACAAAAGTACTAGAAACAATATTAATAATCTAATAAGCTGAACTGCAGATGGGGCTATCAAAATCAGCACATTCCTAAATATTTCATAAATATTTTTAAAAACATTTATTATTTTTGTTTTATGTGTATCAGTGTATTCCCTGCATGTATGTGAGTGCACCTGTGTCATGCAATGCCGTGGAGGTCAGAAGAGGGCTTCAGATTCCCCTGGAACTGGAGTTAAGGATGGTTCATAGCTGCCATGTGGGTGCTGGGAAATTGAACCTGGATCTTCTGCAAAAGCAGTCAGTGCTCTTAATAAATAAAAATAATTTTAAAATAAAATTTCATGACACTTAAAAATTAACAGTGTAAACCAGACATGGTTAAGCATTTCTGCAATCTCAGCATTCCTAGACAGAGTCAGGAAAACCTCAAACTTAAGGCCTTCCTGGGCTGTATAACAAGACCTTGTCTCAAAAAACCCACAACAAAGATTTCTCTTCCACCTATGTTTCAGCAGTGTCACACTACAATGTGCCCAGCTATTGTCTTCCCTACTTAGTACTCCTTTGATTTGTGGTTTGATGATTTCTCTTAGTTTGGGAAACTTCTCAGAGAACTTCTCATTAGAAGCATTTTGTTTCCATTGATTCTTCCTCCTCTGAACATATTCCATCTTTCTGTCTCCCAACACCTTGGCATTTCTTTTTACCTAACTTACATTCTATTTCACTAATTCTCTCTTCAGCTTAATTTATGCTCTTAAGCCCACCCACTGACTTAAAAATTTTTTTATTATATTTTAGTGGGGGGCGCTGAACATGCCATGGGATGTGCGTGGAGGTCAGAGAACAACTTTTGGAAGTCAGATCTCTCCTTCCACCATGTAGGTCCCAAAGATCAAACTTAGGAACTCAGGTCAACAGGATTGACATCAAGTACCTTTACTCAGGAAGTCACCTTGCCAGTCCCATCCATCGACACTTAGTAATCAGTTCTTGTGCTTTCAGCCCTAGAATTTCTACTTCACTCTTTTTTTGAAACAGGGTTTCCCTGTAGCCCCAGCTGGCCTGGAGCTCACTATGTAGATCAGGCTGGCCTTGAACTCACAGAGATCAGCCTGCCTCTGCCTCCCAAGTGCTGGGACTACAGGCGTGCACCACCACGCCTAGCTGTACTTCATTCTTTAATATTTAATGATCAAGTTGGGGCTGGAAATATAATTCAGTGGTGGAATACTTGTCTAAGTACAAGATTTAGGTATACACTACAAAAAAAAAAAACCAACAACAAACCCAACCCTTACCATTTGGGGGGGGGTCTTTTTGACCCACCCTGTAGACCAGGCTATCCTGGAACTTGCTATGTAGACCAGGCTGGCCTCAATCTCAGAGATCTACCTGCCTCTGTCTCTCAAATGCTGGGATTATTCTTGTAAGACATTAATAATAAGTATATTACAAGTCCATGACTGACAACAAATTTGTGTATCCTCAGTTTGTTTCTATTGTCAAATTTTCCCACTGGTTTTCAGTTACATCTTGTCATATACCTAGTTATTTTTTATTGACTACTGGTCATTGTATATAAAAATTATAAACCATTTCTTTGTGGATGCTGTTATTTGAAAAGGGTTACTTTTGCTACCTGAAGACAGGGTACCAACATCAGGAAATTCAGATCATCTTAATCCATTGCAGAATAGACTAGGCTAGACTTCTTTCCTTATATAAACTGATCTACATCTGCTACTTCCTTATCCCTAAGATTTAGGCCTTGTAGGAGCCAATGCAAAACCCTAGTGTTTCCCAGAACCTTCTCATTGGCAGGTTGTAATTCCTATACTTTGTCCTCCTTGACATGAATATTTCTGAAGTCTATTCAACCTCTTAGTTGTATCCACAACTAGTAATAATTTAGAAGACTGCCTCAAACATCAAATACAATTTAAAGCTTTATTCATCTTTCAGTACTTGACTTCAAATTTTTCACTACCTGTGTAACTCTTCTACATCTTCTAGCTTTGCTAGTTGTCAGAATATTTGGTTAAAAACAGCCTAGTTTGGCCAAGCATGGCAGCATATGTTTATTATCAAAGAGTTTAGGAGTCTGAAGTAGGAGGAGCTTCTCAAGTTCAAGACCAGACTGATCTACATAAAGAAACTCTGGTTTAGAGAGAGGGAAAAATTCAGAAATG